GGCTGGAGGTGGTTCTCTTCTTCATCCAATTCATCCAGAGAGCGGTTATGCTCCGAGTTCTTCAGAAAAACAACAAGATGAGTAAAAAACAGTCCAGTTGGCTAAACCCAGTTGATATTTCTGTGATGTTTAAGTTTTTACTTGCCTCTTCCTGTCCGAACTGGTCCACAGAGTCACAGTACACCTCGCTGTCTGAGTCGCTGGTCAGGTGACTGGGTGCAGACGCAGCTACACTTGGATCTAATGTCATTACAAAGAGGGCAAAAGGGCACACAAAACTCAAGACTTGTTCTTCATTATGATGACTAGTCTGCACTGTAATTACCAGAGTGACAAAGAGGAAGTTCACTGAATTAGGGGCTTTTTCCTCAGTTTCTACAGAACCATTAATTTTCTCCATTAAGCCTGTCCCAGGAGCAGCGGATGTGTTAAGTGTTAAGATTCAATGTGTGCTGCAGCTCTGGGAATGAAGCTTAGGAGATTATCTGATCACATGGTGCTCAGACAGCTTGAGTGTTGGTGAGTCTTCAATGACTGTTTTGGACCGCTGTAGGGATGTACTGTAGGCTGAAACAGAGCCCTATGTTGGAATATCGGTTTTCCTACCTGGATTGTGTCCGTTGAGCAGAGGCTCGCCTAGTGAACCCTCCTGGGACTTGTCGCTGTTCAGAGCAGCTCTGGAATGACTGCCATTGGTCAGATGGGTGGCCCCGTTAGCGACTTTACCGTTTGACAGCGGAGCTTTTTGTCTCCTAGCTAAAGTTTTCTTCTTTGGTTGTGATGGTCCAGATTTTTTGTCTGAGGAAAAAATATAGAAGATAAGAGGAAATCTGCATCTAACATGTAATAATATCATTTCAGATATTCATACTCAAAAGGAGCAACTTTGTTACCTTTTCTGACCTCCCTTGTCACCATTTCTTCTTCTTCCTCCTCCTCCTCTTCCTCCTCCTCATCGTCATCTTCCTCCTCCTCCTCCTCCTCATCATCATCCTGCAGCGCATCTTCCTCTGACCTCACTTCCTTCTGTTTAAGCCTTGCAGGCCGTGTCTCCAGAGTGCCGTTCATTTCCATGTTTCTAACAATGCTCTTTGCAACACTTTTTGATGCCATTGAATTCATCATTGTGCCAAACCCTACAGACACACACACACACAAACAGAAAGAATTTTCTAAGCTCACGAATACTTGCTTAAGATGTTAACATATTAAAATGAAATGTGTCCATTTCTGATTGTAAGGGGAACCTTAACTGAGGTAAGCTACAAGCAAGCTTTCTATGACTGCTAATAAGGACTCAAAGCATCTGAGCTACAACACCAGACAGGAAGTAAAGTATATCAACAGACCCGCGTGTTTACACAGTAATGTACTTGCCTTCCAGTTGCCTAGCAAACTGAGTCAAACGGGCTGAGCGTATAACAAGAGGCAAAAGAAGAGGTTAAACTCCACATCACAAAGTAAAACGTGTGGGCAATCCACCTGGCGAGGAAACACCAACCTGTGCTCAGGTCTGATATCTGCGCGATCTTTTTCTTTTCGTCCACCAGCTCGTAGAACGGGCCGAGGACCTTTAACAGCTCCTCCACCTCGTCGGTCATGGGCATCCCCTCTAGGATCTGAAAACCAAATCCAGAGTGAGCACAATGAGAATATTATCCCACAGTCACAAACAACCAGAAAGTGCTTTAAATTCAAAGTACTGGTATTGCGGCATAAATTATTTGGTGTAACAGGGTTATTCCTGATTCAGATGACTGTAAAGGTAATGTATCTGTGTTACTCTTCACATGGCTTGTGTCATTTGATTACACACAAGGACATGAAACACGGACAGGTTAAAAAGGTGCTTCAAAACGTACCAGTTTCATTTCATCAACATAAGATGACATTGCTTCTTCTTTGGACATTTCTCCAAGAGAATTCCAGGCATCCCTATCACA